CGGTGTGGGGTTAGATAATTTCTGAGCGTTAAATGGGGGTGGGTTTCTGAGTAGCATCGCTATCAGGCCATTTATGCGCTGTGTGATTTCTGTGGCACTACGATTATAATATTTTTTAATAAAAAAATCACCAACTTATAATATTCAAAAATCCTATGATTTACACCAAAACCAAAAGACTTGTTCTCACATTTAGTTTTAATTTTTAGTAATTTTAAAAGTCGTAGAATAAATATTAAAAATTGTTAATCAAAAAAATTAAACTATATAACATTATTATCATAATGTAATTTTACTCAACATTTTTCAAATAATAATAAGGATGAATGTGGGATTCAACCAAATTATAGAGAAAAGCCACGGTAAGACGATTAAAATATTTGATCACATTTATCAATGAATTACATTAAATTACAAAGAAAACTATTGTTGTTTTTTACATTTTTAAACATTTTCTGTGAAATAAAATAAATTGATCGTCAGATCGTGGCCTAAGCCATTTTTAACTGTTGTTAAAATATAAAAATTCGTGTTGGTGGTATTGATAACACGAAAAATGCCTAATATACCTATAATATACGTAACCTTTAATGATTACGGTCCCTGAAAAGTATTGTTTAAATATTTATTCGGCGCCAAAGTGTAACCCAACTTTACAAAGAAAATTACCCCACATTTATCTGCATTTTGTATGGTATTATCAAGAATATAATGCAGGGTCACATCATTTTTAAATTTGTTGGAAAAAGTGAAAAAAAAAGTGAAAATAGTTAATTTTAATCTAAATAACAATAAAAAGGTGAGTGATAAAATGAATTTTGTCTTTTTATAACCTTTATTTCAGCGTTACAAAGGTTAGTATCACAGATATTTTCGCCATTTATAAATATACGCCTCCGGATGCTATCTTCAACACAAATTCTGCATTTCAGTGACACTTGAAATGTTTTTAATCTTTACCAGTGGTAAATGGTGTGAGGTGTTCATTAAATGGTTGTATAAATAGTACTTCAGTACTAACTTAGTTGTTTAACTTAATCAAAATATTACATTTATTTCAGCCAGGCCGACTGAGACTTCTTGGGACCAGAAGTGTTGCGCCTGCGTTTGTCATATTTTATTTTTTCTTCTCATAGTTTTTGATATAGATACCCGACATAAAACAACTGAACAGAGGGTAAATGATCGGCCATGGCAAACCAGACATAATTTCTGGAGAGATCCTTTAATTTTGTGCGGAGTCCTAATAATGGTAATTGCTCTTATTATTATTCCTGGTCTTACATTCATATCTAAATTATGTTTGATATTTTCAGAAGACAGACAAGAAATGGATATCTAAGTACTGCATTCGGCCAAGCAAAACCCGGGAATGCTTCAGCCATTAAAAATTTGTAGTTCCAATGCTTCGATTGTAAATATTATTAATAAATACACAAACAAATATTACAAAAAACATGATTTTTATTGTGGAAAATCAGATACTGCAAAGCAGTGCAAAACCAAAACTGCGAGGGTCTGGAAAAACCAAAACTGGGAGGGTGTAGAAAAACAGATATTGCAATTGGAGGAAAACCATAACTGGGTACGTGTGGAAAATCTATAATGCGGGAAGTCGAAAAACCAGTGGATTTTGTCCTGCATTCTTCTGCCAGAGATCCAGATAGAAACCTCATTTCCCCCTTACTTTTTGTGTCACCCCCGTGTATTTTGAAACCAGAGATGGAAGAAATGTAAGGGGTGAATGAGGTTTAGTCCCTTCCGCTTCTATGGAGAAACCTCTTGAAAATATGTTATTTTCCAGAGGAATTTTCCCGGTGGGCAGCTGCAATGCACACACACAAACGTACACACGCATATATATATGTATCCAATGGCTGTGTGTGTAAAGTACGCATTTTTTTGATATATTTATTTTGTTCGTGTGTGTGTGCATTAGGGTGGACTTATTTTGTATGAAATTTCTAAGGCCATGCTCTCACCCCTTCATATATGGCTTTTTTGTATCCTTAATCCATAAAAGAAAGAAAAAGTAAAAAATAATGAGTTTTAGTCGGTGCGCAACGGCTTTAAAGTTTATTACGCATTTTTCAGATTCATCTAGATGCCGTAGACTTGATTTTATACTTGGACAGTATTTTAAAAAGTATCTTAATCACTTTCCCGAGCAATTTAAAAAGGGATGAAGTCGGTGATAAAATTGAAATCGTTGGGAGACAATTACAACTTAAAAATAACAGTTAATATTGTTATTATTATTGTTATTCGTTATTAGGAATAATCAATGACTTTTAGCTTTTAACTTATAACTTATAAAATTTCGACTGTAAAATTCAGCTTAATGGGATTTCTGTAAGGTCTACCGATATTTTAAAATTTAACGTTTACTTAAGAAAAAGGCGCAAAAGAAAAGATTTGCGATATAATCGATTTTTTTTGGCTGTGGTATTTTCATTTTCCCTATGCGCGGTCACACTTAAATTGCGACATCAGGACATACATATGTACATACATACATGCGCCAGCAGAACATACATACAAACATATGGGGACGCGTGACGTCACATCAGGTTAGCCAAATTTGAAAATATTGGGGACTTGGTTAAGGATGCTGAATCTCCAAGAAATTTAAATGCAGTTATTTGCGGGTATGCCATAAGATTATGAACATCACATTTTTAAACCATTTTAATTTTATTTATAACAGAGAAATGGCAAAAGAAAGAATTAAAAAAAAACAAATCGAATTTTGGGGCACTTTGGGGTCGTTTTTTGTTCTAAAAAGTACCCCTCCTAATTATTTTAGTAATTACTGTGATTTTTCTAGATTTTTAGGTCAATCCGTTTTGGGTGGAATTTGCTACTGACCGTTTTTTAATCAAGACAAATATTGATATAGATCAGAAGTTTTTGTTTGTTTACATTTACTTTCATAGGAGCTAATATATACATTTAAATTTAAATTGGTCAATCTTAATTTGTAAGCCATTGTATTCAAACAAATTAAGTTAAAAAGGCGTTTAAGTATTCCAAAATACCCTTTAAACGAGCTATAGCACATGTCGGTACCTTTAGTAGTGTACAAACTAACGAAATTTAGCTATTTTTAGCTTTTTCCCGCTAAAGTAGCGGCTTTTTCCAAAAGTCGTAGAACAAAAGATTCCTATATGGATTTCTAAAGTGCAAATTTACTGATTCCATGACCCTAAAATACAGTTCGGATACCCTCCCACAAAATTCAATACTCAGGGAGCGTTAATTGTTTGAGCTGGCAAAAGTGGCTATTTTCGTATAAAAATAACTTTTAAACGTGACTTTTTACAGTAATGTTTTATATACCAAAATTTAAGGAATCTTAAGGGCTAAACAGTTTAAAATTTTAAAGAAAATCATTAGGGCCGTTTTTGAGAAAAATAAAAAAAAGCTACAAAAAAGTTTTAAAAAATTGTCTTTTGTTCATATTTTTTTAACTATAACATTTACACAAATTGCATATAGAAGCAAAAACTTAAAGGATTGCATACCAAGACTTTAAGAAAACCAATTGGATTGGGAGAGAGAGCGGTGAAAGAAAAAAAAGAGCAAGTTTCGAAATTTGCAGCTGTTGGGGCCGGTGGGGATAAATGCCCCCTCGCAATGTTCCTATTGAAAATACCCGTCGAATGAGGGGTCATATGATAAAATCCGACGCTCCGTTCAAAAGTTATAGCCAAAATAAATTCGGCACGCTGCAATAGAAAATGCCTGTGAAGGGAAAAAGGCTGGAATAGTTTGCTAGGGCGGGCCGAATGAGAAAATATTAGAAAGTCTATTTAATGACGAGTGTAATAATTTTTCGTCACAAATGTTGATATCAGAACTTTTGTATGTTGAAGGTGCGATCGTCACTAGTTTTTTACCTCGTTAAGAGGTGTTTTTATTTGATATTTTATACATGTTTAATACACAAGGAATACTGTGCGTATCAATCATTTTCAAGTATTATACATTTGTTAGTACTTTGTGTGTTATTTTCCGAACCCTGTTACAAACACAATTAAATGAAAATCACTAAACAGAATCGGCATCCATAGGAAGTATAAGATACTGCCGCTAGGCCTGCTTTGTTTAGGCCTTTACAAAATCAAATGTGCCCGCGTACAATAGGGCTAAGCACCCCTGCTTTAGAGAATTCGTGCCATTAGGATTTTAATAATTTTTATTAATTTGTCTTAGCTTTCTTTTAAAATGATTAATATCGATACGATAACAATAAAATATCGAAGATATCTATACTTCCAAATATCGATAAATGTCAAGCTCTATTTTTATCGCTGTCTCGTTCCGACTAATGCCATCTCACACTTTCATTATTCAAACTCTCCTGCGAGTGAGATGGGGATATTTCCGACCCAATAAAGTATTTATAGTCGATCTAGACATGTCCGCCTGTCCATCTGCCCGTCTGTCTGTCTGTCTGTCTGTCTGTCCGTCCGTATAAATGATGAGGTTTCCGAAAAATACAAAACCTGGGATAGTTGAGTAACGGGTATCTGATAGTCAGCGTTCTCTCTTGACTTTATGTGGACAGTACCACATTGGTTGCAAAGCCCCCTGCTTCCAATATTTTACCTCATACTTATTTTGTCAATGCTATCATTTTTCGCCGTATATTCACGTTAACTGATGAAATATATACTGTCCACTTAAAGAAAAAAAAGGGGGGTGGCCGGGCCATCTGTACGTGGGTCCCAGGCTTATATTAGGTCCCTTAAGGCGCGGTATGGTTAATTCCGATTTTGTAGCTTTTTTTAGTTTCCGAAATCTCAGCGATAAAATTATAGGCTCGGAAACGCTTCCGTGTCCCTGTTACATATTATCCGACGAATACAATATTCCCTTTTACTCTACGAGTAAGGGGTATTAAAAGCTTAATTACATCGGATATTTTATGCAAACTAGTGTTATATTTGATATTTTATTATTCAAAAAAAAATTGTGTGTTTTTTTATTTGTTTTAGGACATCCAAAACAAACTTAACGTTGCACATACAACAATACAAAATTATTTTAGTACTCCATTGCCCAGTTCAAAGGTTGATGTAGTTGCTATACCTGATTTACCATCAGTTCGATACGTTAGCACATGGGGTATACTGATATTAAGGTATGTTGTTTATTTTATATTATTTATTTAATATTGAATTCAAAACTAATTTTAGAGAGTCAGAAATATTGAAATCTGGTGTTTTCACTATTGCTCGGGAACTTATTTATCAGTGGATTGGTTTATGGATAACTCCCTATTGGTGGACTGACGCCAATGTGAATAAAGCGCTAATCAGTTTTCTAGCATCAGAAATCGTGTTTGAAGTAAGTTTTTTTTAATATATTTTTTTAATATATTATATGACCAATTGGTATTTTTTAGATAAATGGCGGCTTAGAGTTCAATGGCAAATATCCCATGACGATTCTTTACTCATTGTACTATGAGTTAAGCAAAAGGTATCCCCACTCGCGAATAACAGGAATGAAACACGAGTCAATGACTTTTAAAATTGAGCTCATTATTCGAATGATTAAATTAACCATAGGAGGGGAAACTTTTAAAATCGGAATACAGAGATTAATTACTGATTTTAAATTTTTATCGTATAATGGCTCTGACCTTTGGAATGCACTCTCCAAACAAGCAAAAGAAGATAATGTGTTGGATAGTGCCTTAAGTATATTGGATATTGCAGAGTCTTGGCTAAAGCTGGGCCGCCTGCCACTTATCACTATAAATAGAGACTACAATTCAGGAACTGCAAATATACAGCAAAAAGTGTATCTTCGGGAAAGGCCTCACGATGTACCCGATCAGGAAAATATGCTTTGGTGGATTCCTATTGTGTTATCACGGCAAGACACCCTAAGCTTGTTTAATTATTATCCATATATATGGATGAATAAGACAAATAATATCCGAATTTCAAACATGCCAAGCAGAAATATGTTCGTAATTGCTAACCCAGAGGAAGTCGGTCCATTTCCAGTTAACTATGATGAACAAAATTGGAATATGTTGTCAATTTTTCTAAGGACAGAAATTGAAAGAGAATCAATTTCAGTGTATACAAGGTACTTATTTCTGGAATGTTATGAAGTATAGTGTTACTGGAAGAAGGAAGTGTTTCCGACCCCATAAAGTTAATATATTCTTGATCAGCTTCACTAGCCGAATCGGTCTAGCCGTCCGTCTGTGCGTCCGTGTGAACGCTGAGATCTTCAAAACTATAAAAAATGTTGGGATTGGGCATTCAGATACCAGGGGTTCATACGCAGCGAAAGTTTGCTTCACCGCGGTGCCTCAACGCTCACTCAAATGCTCACAAGCTGCGAAAATCTGTGACGGCGATGCCGTTAATAGGCCAGTATATAAATGTATTTCCTCCGTCAATACCTTTCGATTGCCACTCCCGTAAATGCCCTTAGCGCTATAATCTGTCAGCGCTTACATTTATGCCTTGCATGGCCGAGGTACTACTGACTCCGTCTGGCGGGCGCCGTCCCTCCGAAAATTATATTAAAATTTGAATTGTATTTTATAAATGGTTCAAATAATAGGCGTTATTTCTTGTTTTAAAGTTAGTTATCTGAGTAGATGGTATCTCATAGTCGAGACACTCGACTATAGCGTTTTCCCTTTGTTTAATTTTTTTTCAGTCTAAAGTTTTCAACGCACTGAATAACATTTAGTTGTAGATTTTCAGAAAACTAGTCACACGTTGTTAAGCTCTGTTGAGGCGGGGATGGCTTGATGAATCCCAGGGAAAAATGCGGAGAAAATCCGCGCGGAAAAATGTATTGAAAACACGGGAGAACTTTCAGGGTTTTGCACGACCTGCGGCTGTTTATTATTACACTTGTAAATAGGAACTAACTGGTAGAAGCTTAACTCAAGGACTCCGGAGTGGAAAGTTTTGGGAGAGCTGGAGAGGGAGAGCGAAGGGCAGTGCAAGCGAGCGAGATATGGAAATCTGGAGAAAACTGCCGCTTCACACTGCATCCCGAATTTAAACGCCCTTTTGGCCTGAACATTTTTGTATATGATTAAGTGTAGACAACTTCCGAGTTTCACGAGTGCACAATATTCAGTCTTTGAGGCATAAACTCCAGTTTTAAAGATACAAATCTAAAATTTTTGTTATATACTTTTAAGGCTAAGATGTAATTTCGGTTTTTGTTGCTTTTTGAATCGGACCACATCTTCATCCTACGCCCACGCCGCATATATACATTTGAAGGCAAGGATTTAAAGAAAATGTTATTTGTGTTGGTAACTGTAATACAATTTCTGTTTTTGTTAAATTTTGAATTGGACCAAGTCTCCATCAACCGCCAACGCCGCATATTTACTTCTAAAGGCAAGGATCTAAATAAAATGTATTTGTTAATAAATATTTCATATTTTACGCCTTTCGCAACAAAACTGAAGTATCTTCTTGTTTGGTATTTTTTGCCAAATAGAATGGCATCGAATTTTCTTTTTTTTTCGCCAATTGAGATGCCACCTTACGCTTTAATCGTGGTCCTGCCTGATTAGAAGTTAGGCATTTGCGACCAGGTTTGTCGCTTGGTAAGCCCTTTTCCAAAAATGAAATTTTCATGTTCGACGAAAGCCACAGGGAATGTTTTTCCTTGAATCGGTCTATTATTCTATGACATTTGGGCAAATTACGACTAAAAAGGCAACAATCTGCTTAATTTTTTTTTTTTACTATTGTGTGCTGACTATCGCTTAATTCGATTCCGTTCATAGTTTGCAAAACAAATTCCATCACAGCGGATTGTTGCCGGTTGTTGTCGATCCAAACATTAAGCAATGTGTAGTGACAGAACTCGAATGCAACTACAACATGGAGGTTTTACGTAAAACGTGCAAAAACGCGCAAAAAGTATTGATAGGGTTCGATTAGCAATTATTTTGTTTATAACTTCCTATTTTTACCTGCCTATACTCACAACTTACACTCCACAGAAAGCAAAAATACATTTCTTATTTGTCATCTAAAAACTAAGCGACAACACATTAAACAAATGGAACAACACATATAATAAACATTCAGTGTTTATAATTTATTTAACAATCCTTCACTCTTTGTATCCATATTTAAACTTTTTTGGTTGGCTTACAATAGCCAAAGAAATCGAGGTGTGAAAACTACAAAGGTTTTCTTCCCTTTTTGTAAACGTGTGACCCTATTTCCAACTTTCGAATTTCTTAAGGGAAAAAATAGCGAAAAACGACAAAAAAAATTCTTTGAAAATGGATTTTAGGTTCCTTTAAGTATTGTAAATAACCACTGAAGGTCATTTATGTAATTCTAAAGAACAAAAAAATGTAAAAATGCCTCACTTCCGAATTTTTTGCCCATAGTGGAGTGTTGAAAATTTGCGCTGAGAAGGACGAAATTCTGTGTGGGATTGAGGCGGACACTGGCCTGGATGGAATTGTAGAATTGTTGCATGTTTTTTTAAGTAGTTTTCAAAGGACAGAATATTTTTGTTTTTACGGATATCAAGGGAAAAAGTTCTGATAAAATCTTTTCTCGGTTTATAGAATAAAAATTAGGAATTTTTTAAATTTAAAATAAGTACCAAAGATAAAGCAATGCTTAATTTTTAATTTTAATTACCGCAGGCGAAGCTGCGGGCTACAGACCCTGCTAGTGTATATATATATGTGTGTATATTTGTTGTATACTGCACAATGTAATTGCCGGTGTTAATTTATAGAAATTTAACCTTTGTATTTGGAATTCGAAATAACACCAGTTTACAAAAAAAAATCGATGAAATATACCATGAATGAAACCTTTGCTTTCCGGTAAGGTACGTCTTCCTGATTAAGAAAATGGCACTTAAAATTTTTTTTATGGATATATATGCACGTAGCAGGAAACACAGTACGAAAAGAAAGCTGCCAATTTCGGTGGGATCCCTTTGAATTTGAAATGTGCGGATTATATATTTTTACACAAACAATCATAAAAAATACAAGAAAATATATTTTGATATTTATTTTTTGCAGTTATTGTTAAGTTTGCTTGGGAAAAAACTTTGCATCAAAGCATTTTTGTTTTAAGCTCCAGGAAAAAAGTTGAAAATTTGACTTTCACAAAATTTGCTCACTTTTCAAAGGGTTCTTAATGGGTTAAGAACATTTTTGTGTCATTTAAACGGAATTTAAGTGCTCTTTCTATAGGTGCCAAAAGTTTATATTATAAGTTCAAAATATGAGTACAGCTAACATTCAAATCGGTGAAAATACTTTTGACCACCCCTGTATATTAAATGCCATTGCGTCGGATTTGATTGCTTTTCGATTTAGACAAGAAATCATAGTATTGAAAACACGGTGTTTTGCACGACCTGCGGCTGTTTAATATTACACTTGTAAATAGGAACTAACTGGTAGAAGCTTAGCTCAAAGACTCCGGAGCGGAGAGTTGTGGGAGAGCTGGAGACGGAGAGCGAAGGGTAGTGCAAGCGAGCGAGATATGGAAACCCGGAGAAAACTGCCGCTTGATACTGCGTCCCGAAATTAAACGATCTGTTGGCGCGAACAGCTCTTTCGGCTTTTTTCGCGCGGAGTGCCATGGCCACAGCTCACGCCCAACTGACCGAGGGGTGCTGCCGAGTATCGTACGGCACAATACACGATACACAACCGGTGATACAGATTAGAGTCCTGCACGAGTATACTCAAAATGCCCTTTGACTCCCATTTCAGGAAAACAATTCCAGTAAATTGTCGTCAGCTACAGTGGCTCACAGCTTATTTCAACCAGTCTACACCAAAAACTTTAACAGCCCATAAAAACTAAACAAAACATGTTATCAAAATAATTTGAACGCAGAATACATCTATGAGGATACACATTAGTGTATAATAATTTTATGATTTTTTAAATATTTTACAAATATTTTTTATGAATTAATTACAAAAAAGCCCAAAAAAAGGCCACAGCTTATTTCAACCAGTTAACAAAAAAATCGAATAAATTACACTATGTGTAAAACCTATTTTTTTTTTAATTTGGCATGACTACCCTTTTGTTTAACAACAATTTAAAGTTAACTTTATATGGAAACAATGCCTTTTGTTGTTGTTGCCAAGTAAAAACTACTCCCGACCCTTGGAAAGGACTTTTGGCATAGTTTCGTCTAAAAATATTGTGTTTTCTAACATTTTTTGTGGTAATGTTAAGACACATTTAATTCATAATCATTAGCTTTCGACAGCTCTGGATGAGCTGAATCTGCGAAAAAATATGCACTTCCCATGGGTAATTTCTTTAGTTAAATCAAAAATTAATTTATATTTCAAAATCCTTTCAGTTTTTAATTCATTTATCCTTTTGAATGTGAAGATCAACTCAAATCTTAATCGCGGAGTAAAAAAAAAAAATTATGGAAGGACCTGTTTGACACTTATAGGCCCAAAACAATTAGCGTTCGCCGCTAGGCTTAGGGCTCATTTGGATACACACGAGAAACTCACTTATTAGTGTCCTTAGTATGTTTGAAAAAATGTATTTGAAAGAAATACTTGAATTTTGATACATTTGAGTCGGAAAAATATATATCTAAGCGGAGAAAATCCCAATGACGAGCCTAAATTGGGAAGTCAAATTGCTATTTTAAAGTCTAACGGCGAACGCTAATTGTTTTGGGCCTATAAGTGTCAAACAGGTCCTTCCATAATTTTTGTTTTTTACTCCGCGATTAAGATTTGAGTTGATCTTCACATTCAAAAGGATAAATCAATTAAAAACTGAAAGGATTTTGAAATATAAATTAATTTTTGATTTAACTAAAGAAATTACCCATGGGAAGTGCATATTTTTTCGCAGATTCAGCTCATCCAGAGCTGTCGAAAGCTAATGATTATGAATTAAATGTGTCTTAACATTACCACAAAAAATGTTAGAAAACACAATATTTTTAGACGAAACTATGCCAAAAGTCCTTTCCAAGGGTCGGGAGTAGTTTTTACTTGGCAACAACAACAAAAGGCATTGTTTCCATATAAAGTTAACTTTAAATTGTTGTTAAACAAAAGGGTAGTCATGCCA